TTTGGAAAACTCTATGAAGGGTGACTAAAGTGTAGTTTTTCCTTCATATCCACAATATCCAACATATGAGCCTACTTCCTTTTGGGATAACAATGATAGTGATGATGAGGAAGAGGAGGATTAAATTGAGTAGTTTAGTTTTTTTTATTATTATTATTGTGAACTTTATGTGATTCATTTATATTGTACTATTAATTTGTTTTGTGTTGTACTTATTGAGGTTGCTTCTATTTTTTGTGTTTTGTTCTGTTAGACTCTGTTGTGATGTATTTAGGTTATTATGAGTAGTTATAATGTTTTTGTGGTAGTGATTGTAATAATTGTGTTGTCTAGTGTATTTAGTTAGTATGTTTTGAACTTAATCCTGAATTTTTGGAATGTTTAGAATATTACTAACTATCAGTTAAGAACTTCATGTTTAAAATTTTCAATTTACTACCAGGTATTTTCCTTATGCTGTTGTTGTGAATTTTTGTTAGTATGTTTGCTTGCTTTTAAGTTATCCTCCACTGCATAGAAGTCTAATGAATCTCTATATGTTAAGTTAAATTAAAATTTTAAAATTTGATCAATTAATTGATCAATTAATTTTTACTCATGTTTTTAATTTTTATAATTGTATATTTAGGCCTATGCATAAATATGATGCTAGAATGTTTTATCTTATTAAAAATTCAAGTTTGGGGGATTGAAAATTTTTCTAAAACTTGAAGTTTATTTGTTTTCAAATGTACTACAAAAAAATTTGATTTTGATTTGAAAAAAATAATTACGCATATGAAGTTGTATTAGAAAAGCAAAAATTTTGAATATAGAAATGAGTAAGAAAATTTAGTTGAAACTTATATTAATGAAGAAAAACTTAAAAATTTTTTAGTGTAGAAATGACAAATATTGTGTAGTTATCTTTTGTAGGAGCAATTCTATTTTTGAAAAATTTAGAAGGGTTAGATTTTTATTTTAAATACTTAAATTTCTTTTATTAAAAATAATTTTTAAAATTATTATTATATTTTTAAGTAAAAGATTTTTATCAAAATTTTGTTTAAGGAGGAGTTGAATTCAAAATTTTTTAAAGGTCTGTCCATATATAGTAATCCTCACTTAAGAGAAAAAAGAAAAATAAAAAGAAAAATAAAAAGAAAAGAAAAAAAAGAAAAAGGAAAAGAAAGTTGAAAAAGATAAGAAACTTGAGGATTAGTGCTTAATCAAAAATTAATTACATATCTGATCTTTTAAAGTATAAGACTTGAGAAACTCTTAAGTTTACGGATATAATATAGTAAGTATCATTATTCTAAATAAAAATTTTTAAGTGGAGAAAATAGAATGCCTAAACTCTATATTTGAAAAATTTACAAATATTTCTAAACTAGATAGGAACTCAAAATTTTCAAACTTCTTTATATTAAAAATTTTTAAATTCTAAGTTGGTCTCATATACTAATGTTTTTTCTAAATTGGACTACTATATTTCTAGATCAGAATTTTAGAATATTCTAAGAATTTTAGACAGAATTTTAGAATATTCTAAAGAAACTCATTTACATAATCAACTTATTTTAGTTTTGAATGATTGGAGTGTAACTTGAGGACAAGTAACATTTTATGTTTGAGGGATTTTGATACACCTAAAATATATAGTCTTTACATACACATTTTTAACTTTTTTTTGAGATATTGCGCATTAATGGAAGATATTAGTGTGTTTCTCTGTCAGGTATAATCAAATGGATAAAAAATGGTGAAAGGAGTGAAAATGGATCAAATTTGGAGCAAAAATGAAGAAGATGTGCAAAAGAACTATGATGCTTAAGCGCCTATAATTGGCTCTTACGTGGCACCAAGAACCTCTTGCTTAAGCACCAGAAGTAGTTACTTTATGATTCAATGAATTTGGACAAATTTTTGAAGAGGTTTTTTTAAGAAACTCTTGGTGAAAACGTGGGAAATACTTAATGAACATGAAAATACATTCAATTAGCTTTTGAAAGGAGGTAACTCTTGAAACATTCATTGAATGTGGACACATTTTGAAGAGACACCAATGCACCTTTTGAAAAATTATAAAAGAAGGACTTTGATTGGATTGAAGATACTTATTCCTCTCTCTCACACAAGTCTCCACCCCTTCTAGACACCGCCGACACCTCTATCTCTATTAGATCAATTAGGATGTTTTTTTAGAGAGAAGAAGAGAGGAGTTGTAGTGTGTGAGTAGAGAGTATTATAAGAGAAAGGAAGAGAAGAGATTCAAAGGTACTTCAAGAGTTTGGTGGAGATTATTTGAGATAATTTTTTTTCTTTGTGACTATAGTTGGTTTTAATTTAGACGTCTTGCTTGTTTGCATAATTTCTACTTTCAAACTTATGTGTGGTTGTGTTTTCTCTATAAATTCTGAGTAGTTTTCTTTGTCTTTTTCCTTGAAATGATAAGTGATAAAGTATTGGATGAAATTTGTGTGAAGTATTAATTTTTAATGTTAGAATAAGATATGATGAATTTAAACTTTGTACTTCATTTACTTCTTGATTTGGCCAATTAAGAAGTTAATATCTGTTGTGAGAACATGTAATATTTGAGATGGTATTTTCTCATTCAACTAATGGTAAGAATCGCATGAGATTGTATGGATGAGAATGTAATTCATATGGTTGAGTGCAAATATATAGGAAAATAAACTTTGAAAGGTGTAAAATTAGATGACTTTCAAGTGACAGACTAAAGCCACCAAATTAGTTTATAGTTTTAGGTTTTGATACGAGATGTTAGCCGCCAGGTGGAGAGAGAAGAGGGAACTCTAGATTGAGAGCTAGTATCTTCGCTACCAAACCCGTCTTCAAGACTATTCAAACTTTAAATTAGCCAATATTCTTTATAGCATCTCTAGTAATGCTAAAGAATATTATTGCTCCTATTTGGCACAACACAATTTGAATACTTCCACAACATAAGTCTTATACTTGTTACTGATTCATGTAAGGAAAAAGATATTTTATTTATAATTCCTTCATCTTACAAATATCTAGTTAAGTTTAGTTAGTTGTTTACTTTCAATTATCAAAAATTACAAAAAGAATCAAAATTTTATTCCTATTGTAGCATCTATAGCTTGTGTAAGAATATGTTACAAAAGTAAAAAAATTTATCTAATTTATTTTGATTTTAGTTGCATATTTTATTTTTCCCTATGGGTTCGATATTTGGGGTTTAATCAAAAAGTCCTATATTACTTGATAAAAATATGTATACTTGCGTAGTTTCTCATATTTAAATATTTCTCATATTTAAATATAATATTTAAATATAATAATTGTGTTCTTATTTGCTTTGAAGTCTTGTTTTTGGCAGTCGTTGCAAAGTAAGAAATATAAAAAAAAAGAAAAATTAAGATTATAACTACTTATATTGTACTGACATATAAAATCGGGATCAGCTCCCTAATTTGAGATACCTTTGGTCCATTACAACAAATCATGGTCTTAGGTGATTTTATTAGCATCCTAGGAGGCTAAACATGGCAAGAAAGGATTAACCTTAGGTTAACTCCAATGGTTTAAGCCATTTTAGATTTTAGGCTCAAAATTGGGGGTTTGGGCTCAAAATTGGTTTTGGGCTTGACTTGGGCTTGGATCGCTTCAAATTGGTTTAGAAAAATGTCATGAGGAATTTAGGATTTCAAATTCGGAAAATTGGATTGGTCATAGGGTTCAATTAATGAGATTTGGAGTTTGGGTCAATTTAGGGTATTTGACTTAGGCATAGATTTTGGATTAGGAATGGGTTCAGTTGGGCTTGAATTTGATTTCAATTGGTCTTGGACATGATGAATTTTTATTTGGATTTAAATTTAGGGGAGTTCGAAGTCAATCTGGTGGAAATTGGGGATAATTTTGGCATTTTAGGGATTTACGGGCAATTTGGTAATTTTGGTGCAATTGAATTTTTTAAGTGGTAAGGAATGATTTTTGGGGATATTTGGAGTGAATTTGGTAGTTTTAGGAATTCTTGGAATATGAGGGGTATTTTGATAATTTTGGAAAAATTATGGGTAATTTTGAAATTTTTAAGAAATTGGGATGTTTTGGTCAATTTGAAGAAAATTGGTGAATTGGGGTATTTGGAGGAATTTTTTAAGAAATTGGGGTGTTTTGGGAATCCCCTATAAGTTCTATTGTGAGAATTACTCCCTCGTTGTTTGCTTCTAGCAATTCTATTATATCCTCCTCATCGCTCGTGAGAACTCTCTGGCTATGGTTATTGTACTCTACCGACAACATAGCATTCATTCCTTGCTAGAGTTAATTACACTTGATTGTCTGTAGTAAACGGGGTTGCTCAGACGACCCATAAAATGGGCAATAGTATATTCACCCAATTTCTTTTTTCTACTTCAACATTCTTTCTCAGTAGATATATAATCTTATTTTGTACCATGGTCTGGCCCTTAGTTTGGGGGTGATGGACTGAGGCGAATTTGTGACTTATCCCCCGACTTTATCAGAAGTCTCAGACCTTCCTGCCCAATAACTTTCATTATCAATGAGATTTATTTGGAAGTTTTTAAAAATAACATATATATATTTGCAAGTTTTAAGAAATAATAACATATACTAAACACTTTGGTACCATAATTTTTTTTTAACAAATAAAACGGATGTGAAAGTTCAGTCGTTTCTTCCCGAGTCTTGATTAAACTTATATTGTCTGGAAAAAAATATTAGAGGTACTTATAATATAATAACTTATATTTACACATTAACATTTGATGTCTCAAAATAGATGAGTGAAAATGTCTTTTATTTAAGAAAAGTTATTCAACATGATCATTTTGACGTAATATTAAAGATTTGAATTTTTTTTGTATGTAAACATAAATTTTAGATATTAGATAGAAAAAATGTGTAAAAGGGTATTATCATTCAAGTATTAACGGACTAAAATTAGTTAAAGACTTTAGTTTGAACAAGTGGGAAGAGCAGAATCAAGCTTAAGTGGTGAACTTCTTTTCAATCAAATCCAAACAAGACGTTCATTTCTGCGAGATTTGCCGCAAGTTGAAAAATGTAAAACATAAAGTAAAAAAAAGGTAATTTTTCGGACACCGGACTGGCCTCGCTGCCTGAGACGTCCCCATCGATGGAAGACTCCGTATTTCTTCTTCTTTGAGTCCGGCAAAACTCCGCAGTTATAATCCAAGGATGATATAGTAAAACAGCGTGATAGGAAGAGCAATCAGCATACCGAAAATAACCCTACGAATTCCAGTTAATATCAAAGACGATATCCCTGGTAGAATTGATTTATCATTTGATGAATTAATAGTTAGATGACTTACGCCGTGCTCAAGATGGCTGGATGGACGTTGTACTCCTTGGCGAAGACGAATGGGACGATGCCTTGCGGTAGTGCCGCCTGATCACAAAGTGACGGTCAGAATACAAAGCAAGAACCCACTCCCCACACCGCCACAATTAGTCTAGAATGAAAGAGGACAAGCATACGGCTGTTTGGGTGTGTTTATGACGAGAGAAAAGAAGGATGGAATATACATGCACCTGGACAATAGCAACGCGGATGAGATCGCCACGGAGGCCGACGGCGATGGAGGCGACGGTCATCACTGCCGGGCCGGTCAGAAATCGAACAGCTGTCGCGAAGCCCGCCAAGGCGTTCCCGCAAGCGATGATTTTTGGTTGAAGCGCCATAAAAAATCCTGCTAAGCAGCATGGAGTAAAAAACTTGTGAACAAATAATTTGTAATAAAAATATGAAAAAATAGTATCACGATACAGTGAGACGATGTTTTTTCCAAAACAATAATTATTTTATTATAAATTAATATACATACCACAAAAAAATTATGTATTTAGATATATAGCCCTTAATATTTAATTTAATTCTATAATATTTTATTGCTAAAAATTTATACATAAAAATATTTATTTTACTCTTCAAATGATAAATGATTTCCACATTTTTTATGTCAGAAAATTTAAAGATAATCTCCAAATGTTTCGGGTTGTTTAGAAGCAATTTTTATTTTTTGTCCTTTATTTTTAAAAATTTAAAAATATAAATAAATAATAAAAATAATAATTACTTCCTTTTATATATATATATTCATGGGATAGCATTATTATTTTCTCCTAGCCCACTGAGTACTAGCAACTGCCTGCCCCCCACTTTCTGTTACTGGTCGTCATTGACAACATGTTGCCGCGGAACACCTGCCTCATGTTGCTGCGGAACACCTGCCTTTGCCCCCCCTGTCCGATAGCAGCCCGTCAGCAGCCCGTCACCCCCCACCACCTC